AAGAAATTAAGAGGTAGAAAAAGAAATGTTTGAAAAATTCCCAAGAGGTGAAGAAAACACAATAATAAGGGATCTGATATGTAAGTTAACATTTAAAATTAATTAATAACATGATTTAAACAAGTCTACATTTTCTTTTCAATGATAAAAGTTATTGTCAAATCATCAAATCAACATGTTTCCAGCTTTTAATTAATACATCTCATTGCAACGAGGATAACGCATTCTGCAGCTATATATTAGATTTCAAGCTATGATGTCTTCAATCTTATATTTAACTACAATAATATGTGATGCAATTTTCAGAATACACACGTAAGCACACAATTTTCAGCTTCATATGACAAATGGAAATCCTAAAAGATTAGGGACACTTTTTAAACTAAACCTTTATTTGAAGAGATGTAATGTTTGAGCATATCCCATACTAGTAAGACATATAGCTATTGTATCACATCCGCATGATGAAAGAGGTCTAAAATATTACTGCAATTATCGGTATGTTAAAAGACAACAACATTGACACAACAATAGTTTCTACTTCCATTTTTACATATCCAAGAAATATAAACTTATTAAAAATAAATTTTTTAAATCTACTAACCCGTTGAGTAATGAATTTATTCATTTGAAGAGGATGGTGATAAAGGTTGATCAAATACTGCACTTGCAAGTCGATCATGAACAAGTCCCAACCATAGCTTACTAGGCGCCATAATCTTGGTGCATGTAAAATAAATACAAAAAAAATATTAGTACAACAACCAAAAGAGGTAAGAATTAAATATTATTTCGACCACGTCAATGTACTAAACATGAACAAAATACATAAAAAGTGCATCAATATAGTTAGAGAAAAGAATATAAAGAATAAGAAACAAGAGACAGTGTCGCTTAAATTTTACAAACATTGAAGATTCACTCTTTAAATTTTCATAAACCTTGAAGATGCATCAGCCAACTCAACCTTAATCCTATGATAATAAACCAAAAAAAATAGGAAAAACATCTAACTTGGTTCAAGAGAGATATACAACATCGACACAAAACCATAAAAAATATGTTTCTATATATTTTGCAAACGGAAGATCATTGTAACAACTCCACATAAAGTATGCCTTCATAAATAGGCTCTCCTACAGGTTTACAAATACTCTCCGAGATTATCATATGAAATCGACAACTTTGAGTCAGGGAGCTTTGGTTCATTTAGAGGAATTGTCAAACTTGGAAGAATCACATCTTTCCATTACGTTTTTGCACTCTTTACTTGATCCTATGACAATTGTGTTGAACAATACGGCACACTTGTGATTAGGCATTTCAGAAGCTTAATTACAAAGAAAAATACAAAATACTATTTTTCTTGCGTAAGCAATTTTAAAAAAGACACACGAAATGGTTTATGTAATTTTGCTTCTCCTTTCTCTTCACTGATTTACATTTCTCCCTCTTACTCTTAGATACCTACTAGAAGACAATATATCAGAAAACCAAAAAAGACATTAGGGCACTTCTTTCAGAAAACGAAAAAAGATATTAGGACTCTTCTTTCAGAACAAGTATTTTGTCTCATCAAAGAAAAAGATCTCACATAGAAGACTATGATTACATTCCTTTACCCATCCAAAGTGAAAATACATATAATTATGAAGTACTAAAACTCAATTCTAAAATCGATCATTAAAAATAGAGGATTATCCTCAGAAATTATCCGATTGACGAGTGTATTCAATAATTAATCATCCCACCTCTTTTTAATTTCAATCATAGCTACTAACAGATGTGCTCACATCAGTACATACAACATAGTCCGAAAAAAATTTGAACAGAAAAGCTATAATCATTAGTCCAAAATTAAATTTACAAATACCACAAGAAAAAAACCCTAGATTGAAACATACAATGTAAACCCATGACTGGTGAAAATTCGACATTCTACAACTACAATCAATAGTTGCAAAAGTCCAATTAATAGTTACAAAGGCAGAAACTTATATTGATGAGGAGAAATTCACAATTAATAGTTACAAAAGTGGAATTAATAGTTACAAAAGCAAAAACTTACATTGATGAGAAGAAAACTATAAGAATAATGTATTTTCTTTATCAGTCACGCGAGACAATGACCAGACCAACAAACGAGCCGGTGATGGCAAGCAGTAACGAGATAAGGCTGAAGTTCTTTTAACCTTGAATGTGTTTTGCAATTAAAACAGAGAGGTTGGGGGTTTTTGTTTTCGTTGGGGGAGGGGGAGGGGGAGGGGGGAAGGGTGAAAGACGTGGGTTGTGAAAAATAAAGAGGGAAAGTTAGCGCCTTAATTTTTTTTTAATTACGACCGGATATTAAGCTTTTTAAAGGCTGAATAATATCCCTCGCTGAAATGGTATTGAAAATTGACAATTAACGACTGGAAAAAAATTGGGTCGTCATAGATACACTTATTACGACCGGATTCATATCCCTTCGTTAAGAAATAGTCGCTAAAAGTCAAGTTTCTTGTAGTGTCTGTTGATGACAGATTTACATTCCTTGATTTTATCTAAGGAATATATATATATATATATATATATGTACCAGATTTTTTGGATCTGTTCTATCCGCATTTGAGCTACCGTCTAATTCTTCTCATTCCTTTAAATACATTATCATTTTGGTATACCACTTTAAAAAAGTCTTTCTCTAGCCCGTATGCTAATGATTTAAGTAGTAGAGATGAGGAAAACTATCATTTTATGGAGCTAATCAGCTTATTTGCAACTAGATTTAGAAGTTAAAATGTTCTCCGGGTTTATAACTCTTTTTTCTGATTAATATGGCCCGATATGTTGTTAATGCTAATGCTGAAAGAAGCAAAAAGAATTTAAACATCATAGAACAGTTATAACTTATAAGATCAGCAATATTATATGGGATGGAAGTTAATGTTGGGTCGTTAAAGTCGAAGACATCCACAAGATCAGTGTCGCTGAGATGTGGATGTATAAGATAAATGTGTGGTTATACAAGATTAGACAAGATTAAAAATAATCACTGCTCAGGATAAAATGAAAGAAGGTCGGTTGAGAGGGTTTGGTCACGTCTTGTGTCAACTTCTAGATGCACCGGTCTATAGGTGTGAAGCAATGACAGAAAGTATTAAAAGAGAACGAGGTGGACCTAAAATTATATGCAAGGATATATATATATATATATATATATATATATATATATATATATATATATATATATAAATTTTTGGAATACATGCAGATTTAAGGAAAAATAGGATAAAATGGAAGAAAAATATCTATATAGGCGATACCAATTAGTTGGGGAGATATTTTAGTAACGTTACTACATTTTGCCGTAGGTGTCCTAGGAGTTTTTTAGCCTTGTTAGAGGCATAGTTCTTGTAACGTTAGCATTTGATGAATTTAAATGGAAACACATGTTCATGAGAATTCATATAGTCGATCACAACTTCTATGAGAATGAGACCCAGTTGCTTTTGTTTCTATAGTGAAACAAGAGAAAAATTGAATTCTCAAAAGCTGCATATTTTGCATACGCTATTGATCATGTTCTAGGACTGATGAAATTGACTCCCGATCATTTTTTGCAAAAAAAAAAAAAAAAACGGGAATAATACCTCAAATAAACTAGTTCAATTGAAAAACAATCAATAATGGTGTCCTCCAAATCGAACACTTTCACAAAGTTGAAATTAAATTTGTGAAATCGCAAAAGTTTGCAAGGATTCATTAGTATGAATCTTGAAAAGTACAGAACCAATAACCGAGCTCCATTTTTCAAGATTATCCACTTCATAAGAGCCCAAGCGATATCAAGCTCTCAACATTTTTATGGGTAACATCCAGCGTTGGATGCGATGCCGCCTCATTGTTGTACATTTTATTTGCTTCACAAGCCTCTAACTGCAGATGTTTCAGAAAGCAATGTCCGAATCTCAAACATGGTGGTGGAAGAGTGAATACTCTTTGTTCTTTGACTTTGGACTTCTTTATCTGAATAAGGAGTGAGTTATAGCATATATTTAGTTTTTATCTGAATGAGAGTTGAGTTTTGTCATATATTAAGGTGGGATGTGACTATGTATATTCCACTTCAATTGTAATTTCACCTCCTATTCCATATCGATCTGTGATGTCCTGATACTGATACCATAAAGTCTTGCTTGATAGCTTCATATTTGTAAGATTTCTCCTTAATTTGTTGCTTTACTATACCGAAATGGAAAATAGTTGATCATACTTTCCCAATTAATGCAGTTAGTAACTTGTTGTCTTTGTTCCTTAACCCCACAAAAGAATTTTGCCTATATTGGTGTAGTTTAGCTTGTAGTAGGATGTAACTTGCCTTTTCCAAGTTACAGAACTCATCTATTATGGTATGTTAACTATAATTATCGATCAGGTGATGTGATAGTGTGAAAAAGATTTTACCTTGTTAGTGTACAGTAGTTAAACTCCAAAAGCACTGGCAAAGCATCTTGAAATATCAACGAGATTAACGATACAGATGGTATTATATATAGATAAAGATTCATGAATAGTTTAACAGAAATTTCAACATATACTGTACAGATGAAGCACCCAAAAACAAAAATTCTAACTTTACGCCAAGAAAGGTAGCAACTCTCGCTTCTTAGATGGTGTAAAAATTAATTTTTCTGAACCAAATATTTACCGTAGATAAATTTGCATTATGTTTTTTTTTTTTTTTGTCCTTTTATGCAGAGAGTACCAAAAAGTCGTAAATAACGAGAGAAAAAAAGATGAGAATCTGCACCGTCTCCTCGATTTTCATCAGGTTACTATTTTACTCAGAGTTTAAATTATTATCATAATTAATCAGGAACAACCTTTCCATTAAATTCATCTCCACATGAATCCATGTGCTCAAAAATGTTACCCACTCGCTTTAATTATAGATCCCATTATTTTATTTCTTATTTTAATTTAAAAGAGGAAACATCTTGACCCCCAAACCCCTTCCACAAACCACACGCAAAAACTCTTTTCATACTATGCTATTATTGAACTTTATCTAAGCTGGAAAGTACAATCTATCTGTATACTAGTATTACTCATCATCGAGATAAAGTAGGTTGTGTAATGTTGGTTTTTTATAAAGTGGTGTTCAGTCAATTTGTGCGCACTTTGACTATATTTCAGATTTTTGCTATCTTCCACCAGTATTGACATAAGATAATTCTGCATATTAAAGTTTAGTTAGATGGAGGAAACAATCGCCTATTTTTTTTCCTACCCTTATTTAGTTGAAGGTTAGATCAGACCCATAAGTGCTTAAATATGTAAAGTTGGTAACCAAGCTCTATGGCTAGATCAAGAGTTTACCATTCAAGATTTGTATGTTCCACTCTTTAATAAATGAGTAAAAAGACCTTGTAATTGGAATTGGTGTAATTACTAGGGTAATAATTACACAACCTAGTAATTACACAGTTGTGTAATTACGATAGCCTGTTTGTTTGTCATAGTGTTATTACAAGTTTACTGTTTGGTTGCACAAGTGTAATTACACAGTTAGATTAAATTTTAAATTAAATAATTATCAAAACTAAAAATTAATATAATAAATATATACCTATAAGATTTTATAAGTATAAATGATAATATATTTGGTATTTAAGATGTATATTTTTTCGTGAATATACATTAACTAATAATCATATATTTATAACTAATA